CCCCTATCAGCACCGTTGTGGGCAGTGTGGCTCCCTGGGTGGCTGTGGGGAAAATGATGAGCTAAGGATCTGGTCATCTCCAGGTGCAACCAGGCAGAAAAGGCTTAGAATCAAGAATAAGCCAGGGTCACTGGTCGAAGGGCCATTTCAGGAACCCTCTGAAACAAGCCCCAGTGGGCAGCATCCCACTAGTGTACCTCATACCACAAAGTTAAGTGAAGCTGGCTTAGGGTTATTGTCACATTCATGGTCACGTGTGGGCCCTGTGTCATTGCAGGGACCAGGTGACTGCTCTCCACCTGGCAAGAAAATGCAGCCTTTGCTAAACTCAATCTGGGTGACCGAACCCCAGTGTTCCTCTGGGACCGGGGGTTGGCGGGGAGAAATGGGACACCACAAAGATGGGGGTGATAAAGGCACAAATTCCTCCTCCCCAGGCCCAGATCTGTGGCGATGAAATGAGAGAGATGAGGGAAGGCGGTCCTATGGGGCCTTGCAGGATGGGCTGAGCCCAAGGTGTCTGCAGATTCAGGCCTGGTGGGGGAGGAAAATCCCTGGTCCACCGAGGGGTCCCTTCCTGCCCTGGTAAGTACTGCAGGCCCTCATCCACCACTGCCTCGCTGAGCCAAGGCCGCATCCATGCTTTTGCTGTGGGAACCCTGGAGCGATGAGGATGGGGGAGCCCCCAGGCTCAGGTGTGTGATGAACTGGTTCGAGCCCCGGTGACCTAAAGCAAGTGAGAACATCTCTGAGCCTCAGTCTCTCATCTGTAAACCAGGATGGCGGCAGAACTCTTCCTCGCGGATTGTGTGAGAAATACAATTTGATGTGGACAGGAGAATGCTGTGCGTAGCGCCAGGAGTCCCGCAGGTGCTGGTGAAGACGACCAGCAAACTGGGGGATGGTGATGAGGGAAACCCAGCTGGAGTCTGGGGAGGGGGCGCTGGGCCTGCCAGCTCTCACTCGGGGCCGGAAGTTTCGTGGACGTCCTCCAAGGCGGTCGGAGGCGCGGCGGCAGCGGTACCTGCAGGTGCCTGGCCTTGGCCGCTCTACAAGGGGGCCGGTTGTCAGCTGAGACAGACATCCCGGTGGCCCAATGGCAAATCGGCGTCTCCCCTAGCCTGTCCAATCGACGCCGGTTGCCGGGTCGAGCCGGGTCTCTCGACCAATGGGAAAATTTGCGGTCGGATAGGGCGGAGCGGACTACCGCGTCGCCAGCCGGGACCGCTTTTGCGCACCGGCCGTGCAAAGGGCGGGAGGGCTAGCCTGGGGCTGCGTGCCGGGCCCGGAAGGGCCAGGCCCTGCACGGGTCCAAGCCGAGGCCCCGCGTACAGCCACCCGCACCGCGTCCCGCGCTCTCAGGAACCCTGGGACGCCCGCCTGGGGGCGGGGGCCGCGCTGCGGAGCTGCCCACGCTGCGCTCCAGGTAGGCTGGGGCCGGGGGGCGGGGCCCGCAGAGGGTAAGAGGGTTGGAACCTTTGGTGCGGGCCGAGATCGGGGCTGCAGGCTGGGCAGGGGCCGAGTCGGGGTGGGGTCTTGGGTTGGGAGTCGAGGTCCGGGTGGGGACACAAGCCCGGCTCCGCCCCACCCGCATGTCGCCCGTGCTGCGGTGCGTGAGACCCTCGACTGGCGGGGGCTGGTCCCTTTGTGCGCGGCCTCGGGGCCCTGCCCGACTGGCCCGAGCGCCCCGCACAGCGCTTAGCCGCGTTGGCTCTGCGCGACGCCGAGTGCCTCGCAGCCACAGCTGGGCAGCCACGGAAACTTTACAACGGCCAGAGGGGCGGCGGAACCGGGGAACTTTCCTGGGGCGGTGCGCCTACGGGTAGTGCGGGGACACGACAGGGCCAGGAGGATGTCCCCGCGCTGCGCTGCTCCGCTGCCTAGAGGACAAGGGAGGGGACGCTGGCCAGGGACCATGTCTGGTGCCCTGATCTGGGCCCCTACCTCCCGCACCCTTCTCCCCTGTGCCGCCTTGGTACTCAGCCCGAGTTCTCTGACGTGTCGCCTTGGGTGGATAGCCTGGGATCCCTAGCCTTCCATTTTAATTTTTAAATAACTAAACATTGGATACTTAAAATAAATCACCGTTTCTAACTTATGCAGAGTGTATCATTCAGGTTCCCATTTCCTGACGTTTAGAAACAAAGAACCAGCCCAATAGGGTTTGATCCTTTAGGATAGACTCTTAATGTAACTTAAAGCAGTTACCCCTTATTCATGCTCCTTCCCAGTGTCACCCATGGCACTGTGCAGGGTACATACCAGGTCAGGATTTATAAACCCAGGGACCCAGAGTATGAGCAGCTTAGTGTCGGTAGGGGCAATCTTTCCCATAAGGCCAGCACCACCAGGGGCGCCGTGGGACACCCCTCCGCACCCACCTCTACTCCCAGATCCAGGTTGCTAGCAGAGGTCTGCCCGTCCTGAACAAGTCCTGCCTGTCCTGTGCTCAGTATATCTCTGGACCTGGGATGGTGCTGGACACCGGATAGTCAGAGCCCTCTGCCCAGCATGCTAAGCCCAGGAGCCCCCACAAAGTGAGGCCTTGGACTCAGCCACAGAGTGTGGGGCCATGAATCTGGAAGGCATGCTTTTTCCCAGCCTTGCCCTATTCCATCCATTCTATCATGTTTGTCCGCTGCTGCCCCCACAGCCTGTGGTTTGCCAGCACCCAGCACAGGGCTGGGCACACAGCACTTGCTGTGCTTAGGACTCTGGCCCTGGCCTGAGAAGGAGGATCACATGAGTACAGCCAAGTCAGCCCCATCCTGCTCTTCCTTACTCAGTTTTCTACAGGATTCCCGTACCTGATGGCCAAGTACCTCCTGGATGAACTGGGTCCAACCCCAAGCCATCACACCTACTAAGTTAGAGCTGCCCCCACCCCCCGCCACATCTGGATTTTGTGGTGCCTCCTCCAGGGTAGCCCCTCAGGTCTCTTCCCAGTCCCAGGGGTCACTCTGCATCTCCATCCCTGTTTGTATTGCATAATGATTCAGGGTGGGTTCATTGCACCCCCTTTGCCCTAAGAGACAGGCTGGGGTGCAATGAACCCTCCCTGATCCTTTGCCTCCAAGAGGAGCAGGGAACATTAGTTCAGCTGGGGGGCAAGAACAGCAGGCATGCCAGAGCCTCAGCCAGCCCCTAGCATCTGCCCTGTGACCTGGCCCAGTCTCAGCAGAGTGAAGGAGGGGGCAGAGTTGGGGTGGGGAACCAGGGATGGAGGATGGGGGCCCTGGGGGCAAGCACTGTGGGATGCAGGATGGAACACAAAGGATTCTGGGAACTTCCCCAATAGTAGATAAAATGGGGGTTGGGAGAGGCGTCTGTTCTTTTGCCTCCAGCTTCTATCAAGATTAGGATGAGATCCACTCTGCAGGAGCCTCAGATTTAGGAAGTAACCGGAGCGGGGACGTCCATGGAAAGAAAGGAATCCTTTTGTGGGCCTTCCTAACTGGGAAGGCTAGACATCTTAGCCTATTTCACAGGTCAAGAAGATGAGCCCAGAGTTGGTAGACACCCACATCACCCACATAGCTCCCCGCTTTCTGCTCCCTCCACCCTGGGTCTGGCACAGGCCTTCCCACTGTCCCAATGAACCCTGAGGGACCAGCAACCTCTAGCAAAGAAGTGACAAGCCAAGGGTGGCCACCAGAGGGCGCCTGGGACCACCATAGCAGGCGAGACCGGCGGCTCCACCCAGCCTCATCCTGGGGCCGGGACCCTTCCCAAGGCACTTGGTGGGGAAGCCACAGCTCTGTTTTCTCCAGGCTCCCTGTCCAGGGTACATGGCTGGAGAAGACCAAGGATCCCTAGGGCAACGCCCCTCGGTACCCCCGGAGCTCCTCACCACCTTTGGTGCAGGCAGAGGAGACCTGAGGTCTAGATGGCAGGGTGGTTGAGCACAGGCTCTGACAAGGACAGTGAAGGATGGGCCCTGTACCTGCATAGCCTTGAGAGTAAGTCCTCCTTCAGGTGCCTTGCTGGCTTCCATAGGCCAGCTGTGCCATCACCCGGTGGTCCAGGCAAGGACTGCAAGTGAGCCACTCAAGGCGGCGGGTATGTGCCTCCCTCTGCCTAAGTGTCCTTGTCTGTAAAATGAGAAGGTGCAGCCAAAGTGAGTGCCTTTTCATGCCTTTTCACACTGAATGACCAGAGTGACCAGTAGCCTGGAAGAACATGCCATTCTACAGTAGGACTCAAGGTTCTGGTGCAGAACGAGCTCTTAGGCAGACCTCCTGGACCCGCACCCAGGCTCCTCACTGCCCAAGCCAATCACCCAGCCTGCCCAGCCCACCCAGCCCTGGCCCCATCCCTTCTCTGGACTTGGTTTGTGCCCATGGGAGTTACCTCTTGCTGTCTGATATCTACGGATCCATAGCTTGCTGTTCTGGCCTTATGGCTGGCCCTTGCAGCCTAGCTGGGCTTCTGCCCCAGTCTGAGATACAGCAGGTCTTTCCAAGGCCCTGTAGGGATGGGCCTGATAAGAGGTGTGGTGGCCTTGTTGACCCCAAGGCTCTTGGTACAGGGTCCTAGGCCTAGTCGGTGACCCCAGAGCCTATAGATCAGCCCTGAGGGAGTGGTGAGAAGGGCTCCCCAAGACAGGTACCACCCCCTCACCCTCTTGTCACAAATCCTGTCACTGGTTCTACCTTCATATCTCAAGTCTGTTCGCCCACTGCCCCAGGGCACCTATTAGACTCTTCCTCATCCCTATATATACAGTGCTGTGCAAAGGGCGCCCTGGGGATGGAGACTGAGGCCGTCCCCCAGATCTTCCCTATCTCTATGCTCCCACCCTCCTGTGGGAAGCTCTCCCTGGGACCTCCTTACCCCCGCAGCCCTGCAGACACCCCCACCCCATACTGGTGTCTACTCCTGGCTCTCCTCTGCATTTGTGAAGTTCTTGGCCTGGCTGGAGCCCCACAAAGAAGGAGCACATTCTTATGACCTCACATCCCTGGTTAGATGGGTGAGTAGGGGGCATCCTAGGGGCAGGAAGACCTGAATTCAAATCCTGGCCCAGTGCTGTCTTGCCTGGACCCAGTTTCCCCGTCTATAAAATGGGGAATTAGGCCAACCCAAGGTGCTGAGTGAGAGTCTATGAGATGATGGTGCACAGCCAGCACTTCACAACGCTTCGCGTGAGGCCAGTGCTGGGGAGAAGCTGGTAGTTATCAGAATTGATTATAAAAAAAAAAAAAAAGGCACATAGTTCTCTGGGACAAGATCTATGTGAACATTTAAGCCAATAGCCAAGGCATCCTGGAAATGTCACTTTGTGAGCAAAAGCTGATCCCTGAGCCTCAGACCTTGGGGTAAAAGCAGTGACGCCTATGCTATGGGCAAGAGGTTGTCAGTGGTTGTGTGGACTCCTTACCATGCCTCCCCTCCCAGTCACACATGCTTGTGTGCATGTACACACATGTGTATGCATGCCTGGCTTGGGTCCTCATTCTTCCTTGCCTCTGTCCCCAGTGTCCTGACTCCGACCCTGTGCTCCCCGCAACTTGAAGCCCCTTCCCTTGATGAAGGGGCTGCAGCAAGGCAGCGGGAGACCCACCCTCCAGCTCCCAAATGGGTCACATCCACAAAAGAAAATTGGACAGAGGCAGGAACAATTTGGAAAACACTGTAAAGCTGAGGATGAAAGTTCCTATCACCCATGTCCCCTGGGAGATGGTCTCCCATATGTGGTCCAGACTCTCCCTGCCTGTCTATGCCACCCTGTTTTTCTTTTTCATGACACAGACACTCTTGCAACGTTCTAAGTCTTCTATATGAGAAGGAATGTGTCTCCCAGGCCATTACCCAAGAATGGAGGCTGTGTGGGGCCTTCGTCCACACGGCTTCGGGCATGTGAGAGGACTTCGCCATAGCTTCAACCCCTGGGGCCCAGGAACTGGGGAGCTGGGCTGGCCTTAGGGAGCCTCAGGAGAGGCAGGTGGTCTGTTCTACAGGACAGGTAGGGGTAGCAGGACCCAGTGGGTGGAGGACAGACCCCTAGGGGGTCGTGACTCCCTGTGTTGGCTGGTTAGACCCTGGTACAGCTCTCCCTGTTGTGTCCTTTATCACAGCGAAGCATGCCCAGCTTTCTGGAAGAGGGACATCAGCCCACAACTCAATAATCACACTTTTAAAAGATAGTTAACAGTCCCATGCAAACTGCAGATGTGATAGTCCCAGTAGAGTGAGAACAAGAGTGCCCATGACTGTGTGGGTGCCTGTCAGAAGCACCATAGGACAACCTTAGGGTCAGGGATGACAGTGCCCATCCGGGAGTCTGGCCTCACCCGGAAGAGACATAGCTTGGCAGGTAGGCTTTACAAGGTACCCTCTGGTTTTCCTGCAGGAGCTGGAGTCAGCAGGATGGGTGTTAGGACATACTGATCTCTCCTCTATACAGGTAGGTAACCTGGGATTGGCCTGGGCACATCCCCTCCTGACACAGGTCAGCAGAGTGTCCTGGTAGACGGGGTGGGTATGGTCAACAGAGGGATGGCCTTGAGTGGTGTGTACTTCCGACCACCCTCTTGCTGGGTGGGCACAGCATCCTGGGCTGGACAGGGCTAGATGCGGTGACCTCTCACCACCCCTGCTTGCATTCACTGATGGCCTGACTGTTGGACATCAGCTACCATTTGACATCTAGCTTGAGAGATGAGCCTGTGGTAGGGCCAGCTGACCAGGAAGTTAACTGGACTGCTGTATACCCACCTTGCCTTGGACACCTGCCAAAGCAGTGTCTGATATTGGCACAGCCTCCCAGCTCCACTCTTAGCTCAGGGTGATCCCTGCTGCCCCAGGGAGACTGGAACCACCAGCCGGGCACCAGAAGCACTAGAAGGGGGGCACCGAGGCCAAGCAGCAAGCTTTGTCTGACAGGGCCAGACAGTAAATGTATCGGTTCTATGGGTCATAAGGTCTGCCACTCACAGCCACACTACCCTGTCATTGTAGGGCGAAAGCAGCTGTGGACATCATGTCACTGAGTAGCCTGACTGCCTTGGTCACAGCCGGGGCACCCTGTGCTAGCCCATGGTCTTGGGGGTTATCAGCGTCGTGGTTTCCTCTGTTAATCACAGCTCCCGTGGGACTGAGGTATGGTACTAGGAAGGGTAGCAGGAGACCATTTGGTCCCTGTGTCCCCCCAGAACCCTCCAAATGGTGAGAAGGGGTAACCTGCTGGCACCCCGGTCTGTCAGAGTTTACTATGGTGGTGGCACTCACAGAGTTGCGATAGTTTGTAAGAATGCCCCAGTCACACTTTTTCCTCCAGCGCAGGCACCTAGTCCCCAGCCCAGTGGTCTGCCCCTGCCCTTACTCCACCGGCTGCCATCTCAATGGGAGACTCAGCCTGTCCAGCCCTGTGGATCCCCAGTGTCTAGTGCAGAGGGCCTGGCCCAGTTGGTGACATGCTCAGGTGGCGGCAAGGAAGCAGTGACTACAGATTCAGGATCCCTTAGGCCTCCAGATGCCAGAGTGTCCTGTGCTGAGGGCCGTACAACAGAGGAGAGGGACAGGGGACCGTGTTCCTTCTTGTTTGTTCCCCGGCACCTCAGGTGTGGGAAGCTGCCAACTGGGCTGATAGGAGCTGGGGATCCACTGCCAACTGGTCGTGTGGGAGGACGGAGGTCCCGCCAGGCATCTTGGTGGCCAGGCTGGTGGTCCACACACGGGCTTCTGGATTAGGATGAAAAAGCTCAGGCTGCATCTAAGTCTTAGGATACATTGCTTGTGGCACAGGTGAAGTGGTATCTGGGGGCAAGGGTAGCAGAGTGCTGGCCCTTATCCCCCCTTAACTCCTGGTAGGCCACCATGCCTCAGGTTGGCAGGCCACCAGACACAATAACAGCTCTGATAACAGGGCCTGCAGGAGGCTGCCCGCCACTCTCGCCCACTATTGCTGCCTTTGCTTGTGCTTTTCCTGTCCCGCCTTCCCTGCCACCAGCTCCTGGTTTACTCCCTGTTCCTCTCTGGCCCTCTGTGTGCATCTCTGCCTCTCCCTATCTCATCTGTCTTGCCCTTGTTAAGTGTGGTGATTAACTATTTTTGTCTGCCATGGTAATTGACTGTTTGTGTCTGCCATGAGCACTGGAGGGATGGTGGTGGTATTTGTATCATCTCTGCTCTGGGCTGGGGCTGTTTTAGAGACTGGGAAGTAGAACCTGGGTCCTGGTTAAGGGCTACTTGCTCTGCTGGCCCCTGGAGTTAGATCCTATCCATATCAGAGGGTGATAGGGATGTGCCTCAGGACTAGGTTGGGCTGAGGGCAAGCACCCATGTGTCCCCATGCTCACCTTCGGCCATTTAGTACTTGCTCAATTAACTTCATTCTGGACACTGGGCATTGTGACTACATTAGGTCCTACCCCATCTTGGGGGAGCCCTCAGCCTGGCTGATGACATGGCAACAGATAGAGAAGGGAGTGGCCAACCATAGAATTGCAAGATAGTGATGAATAGTAGGGTAACAAGAAGGGGGAGCTGAATGGTGGTGTTGGGGTGACGGTGGTGCCAGGCTTGGGCAAGAGAAGCCTGGGGGACATGGGTTTTCCTCATCGTTGCCATGCCAGCACTGATATCACCTCTCAAACTACCCTCACCCAGCATCGGGTGGCCTTTGCAGCTGAGCAAGGCTGCGCTTCTGTGACTGCTGGCCCCAGGCTGGGGTTTCTTGGGGATTTGATGTGTTTCTCAGTCATTGGTATGAGTCTTTACACATTAAAGTTTGAATTCTCCCCTTATCTATCTGCCTGCTGAAAGTTATTTTCAGCCTTTTAATTTTTGTTTGTGATAGTTTTAATGTTCATAAATTTTTCACATTTTGTGGTGAAACTTGTTTAATTTTTTCCTCTTTTACTTATTCCGTTGTTCTTGCATTGTCCTGCCTAGCAAATAGCCAGAAAAATACACATCAATCTTTTCCTATAGGTATTCTAGTTTAGTGTGTACACTCAAGATTTCATCCATCTAGAATTTATTTTGACATAAATGTGAGGTGAAAATTTAATTTTGTTTATACAATTGTATCTGAACTGTTTCTTGACTAATATTTTCTGTCACCAGAAATTGGAACTATTACGTAATATGTCCTTGGGTTTGTGGTGCCTGCAGCAAATGCCTTGCCCTTGGCCGGTGCCCACTGGATCCTTAAAAAAATCAGACCAGGGCCTCTCTTGATCAGCTTTTGTTCTCAGAAGTCGGTCATACTGCATGTTTACTCTTCAGGGACATGTTGGGTCCACTCAGTTGGATCCTCCTCCCTCTATGGACTCACCTTAGTCTGGTGCTGTCTAGAACCCATTGGCCCTCCCTGTGTGGGTTTGTGTCAAGTGCTGGCCCTTGCACATCCTGCTCTGTTCTCCCTGTGTCTTGGGCTCGTAGTCCCTCTGCGCACTCTTGATTACTGTGAACAGGTCCCCATCATAGTGGGACCCCCTCAGAAGCTCCAGAAGTGACCTAACCCCCTTTGTGGGCATTCAGCCTTCGAATGCTGTGTGCTGTCTGTGGCCAGAGACAGCTCCTGAGCCACCTTGCAAGGAGGAGCACGGGTCTCCCAATGACAGCATTCGTGGGCTTTCCCATGTGTCCCTTGCTTAAGTGGCTTTGTCATGCTGTGGGGAGTAAAAAATGGCCTCTTCGTCAAGGGTCACGGTTTTGACATCTTCACTACCCCAGAGGAGGCACCATCAGGCTAGGTGCTTGTCTGTGTACTGTTTGTGTCAGCCTCCAAGGCTGGTAGACAAGTAGTGGTTAGCCAGTCTGTCTTCCGCACAAGAATCTTGCCCACATGGCTGGGGAGCCTGGTGCAGGCAGGCTGCTGCCCTCTTGCCTATGGGCTGCTCTAAGCCAAATGTCTGGGGGCCTCTGTAATTGGGCTCATTCCCCAGGTGGGCTCAATGTGAGAAGTAGGAGACAAGACCAAAGACCCCAGGGAAGCCCCAAGCCCCTTCTCACCCCCAGAATCCATGCTTCTCATATGGGGCGGGAGGAAGAACATCTATGCTGCAGGACTTGGGTTCAGACCTTGGCCCTGCTCTCCCACAGGCTGCACGAAGGGCTTGGTGCCAGCCACTGCAGTTATGGTGTGAGTGCTGTGCCAGCTTCTGGCTGTGCCATCCCTTGCTCAGGGAATTTTATGGCTAGTGGCATGGACGGTGCATCAGGGTCAGCCTGGTGAGGCGGTCTACGCTCTGCCCACAGATCATTCTAGGCAGTCTCTGCAAACCCACAGTGGCTGTTTTAATGAGTTCACCCTCACCCCTCCAGCCTCCAGCCCCATCACTCTCCTCCCAGCACATCCCTTGCCCCTCCTCCCCCGGGGCCTCTCACTGTCACTCTGGCCAGAATCAGCTTTGGGCTGGTCCCTGGACTTGCTCTGCCTCGTTCCCCTGGTTGGACTATCCCCCAGGGAAGCTGCCCGTGAAGTCCCCTAGACCGTCAGACTGCTAGGGAACCTCCTTTCCCCTAGGCCCTGGGTGCTCTGGTCCAAATATGACCCTCTGCCAGGGCACCTGAAGTCATCAGCTCGACCCTGCGAGTTGGGTCCTTTGCTGCAGGGACCACCCCACCGCATTCTGATTTGGGGAGCCTGAGGTCCCAGCTTTTCTCACCCACAGAGATGACTGCCCAATGTTCTGGTTGGGGAGCCAAAGATACCCCACCTCGAGATACATCTTGCCAGGTTGATGTTTGCAGTTGATGAGTTTGGTATTTCAAATATGCCTTTAGTTTAACTTTTCCTTTCAAAATATTTCACTCTCCTGAAATCCTAATTAGGCCATTCATTCGTCTGAATGTACTTGCTGCTGTCTGCATTTTACGAGATAATAAGGCTGCGGAGATGCTGCCAACCCTGTCCTCCCGGGGGCCTTCACTCTGTGCCCTGGAGGGAGATACTGGTGCCCCTGTGGCCTTTCCTGGCCTGTGGGGTCTGGGTCCCAGTGCCTGTGGGGGCACCAAGTACACAGATGTGGAAACGGAGACCTGGGCCACTGAAGAGTCTGGGATAGAGTAGGTGGAGGGGTCTCAGCCCTGGCAAGACCCACCTTTCACAAAACAGTGTCTCCCATCACCTCCCATCACCCCAGGCTGGGGGTCAAGGCTACAGCTTCAGTGATGCCACAGAGGTGCCTCCCGAATCTAGCTGGGCCAGGCTCCCTTGAGGGACTGAGAGGCAGGGAGAGCCTACAGGACTGACCCACAGATGCTAAGAAACAGTGACACCAGAGTCCCCAGTGTTACCTTTAAAAGAAATACACACACACACACACACACACACACACACACACACACACACACACACACAGCAATACGTGCTTGTTTATAGAAAATGTAGAAAAAGCAGGAAAGAAGGAAAAAGAAATCACACGTATCAGCCCTACACCCTGGCACCTGAGGAGACGGTTTCTGCCTCTGCCAGTTTAAGCTGCTAGCCTTGTGAGCCCACCCCACCCTCCCCTGCGCAGTATCTTCCATGTCAATGCTTTACCTATTCAAGAGGGCGGGCTCCCCTTCTCCCCATGCTGTCCCCTGTGCTGGTCCTGCTGCTCCTCTCCTTTGACCCACTTGGCCCTTCTCCCTGGACACACCCGCCCCTGGTCCCCTCTGTCCTGGGGTTTGTGCAGCAGCTGCTGCAGCTAAGAACTCAGGAAACATTTTACTGTGGACACTCAGGCTGTTATCAGGGCCACTGCAGTAAACATCTCAGTGCCCAAAGCTGTTTTTCTGTATTTAAACAATTTGGGTTTGACCTTGAGGTTCAGGCAGGGCCCTATGTATGTATATGCGTGCTCATGCACTGTTTCATGGGGGCAGAGCCTGGGTGGAGATTATTAGACTAGAAAAGGCCTGAGAGAGCAGCCTGAGGGGTCCCATGGCAGCCCTTCTACTGAGAGACACCAAGTCCCCCTGTCGTGCACAGGAGACGGGCCCTTCCCCCACTGGGAAGGCACACCATCTGGGAGCCACCCCCCAGTGAGGTGTACCCTGTTCCCTTACCTTTGGAATGCCAGTCTGGATGCCCCAGGAGGCATGTGCGAGGTAACACCATTCCTGGACCTGTGTTGAATAATGTGGGTAATCAGGAGGCCAAGCTG